ATGGCTAAAAAAATTGGTATGTTTATGCGGCAAACGGCCCATCCCATCAGCAGCATGAAGGGATTCCACTGCATCCCCCCCCCCCCTCACCTGAACAGAATGCTAGATTATTACAAGTTTACCACCCCAGCGTTGACTGCGTTGCTGAATCAAATTTTGAAATACAAAGCTGAAACCACTCGATTCGTCATTTATTTTTTCTGATATTTTGTTTTCTTTCCTTTTGATTAACTGATGTAAGTTACTTTGGGCTTGGGTTTTAGACACTTAATCGAAAGGTGCTCAGTATTTTTATTGATAGACTTACTTGACTGCTATCCACCTTTATCCACCTTGGGTTTTAGACACTTAATCGAAAGGTGCTCAGTATTTTTATTGATAGTCTTACTTGACTGCTATCCACCTTTATTGTAGTGGAATAGTTGGACCTACTATTCCTTACGAAGTCTGGGATCACTCATACGTTTCCGTTAAAAGCAGTCAAGAAAAATTTGATTCTACACGAGATGGAAAATCTCAGCCTTCTTCTTCAAAGGCTCTTCAGATGAACTCACTAGAGAACGAAAATGGTAAGTTTTGACAAACTATTGGCCCTCTAAAGAGACTGGAAACAGGTTACATGTTTGAAAACTCAGATTGTTCTAAGGTGCTGAAGTACATTTGAATTGTCAACATACATATCATCGGTTGTAACCGAACTAGACGGGGAAATGCTGGTGGAAAACTAAGTGGCGATTTTTTTTCTATTTAGCCCGTAAACCCCCAAAAGCAACGAGAATTCAACTTCTCCCAAAATTTCACACAATTGATGAGAATTGGCTGCTTTTTTAATTTACAAGTTTTTATTGTAATATACAGAAACATCAGGAACCCATCATTTATGGGCTCCTGGAAAAACCAATTTGTGAACTAATATACAAGTAATTTGTAGCAGCCAAAAGAGAGAATTACCACATTCGGATCTTAAGTGTGAAAGAGTTGAAGATAGAGTTGTAGTACAAAAAGGCGTGGCACTTGTAAACGTGTCTGGTGTTCATTTATAGGTGAAGTTCAGGAGATGGAAACAGATGTGGAACGCGTTCTGCAGGAAGAAAAAGTCGCCAACGAGGAGCCAATGGAAACTGATTATAGTACTGAGGAACAGCAACAACTAAAACAACTCCAGCAACAGAAACAAGAACAACAACCACAGCAAGAATCTAACGTGGTAGAGTGTAATTCATTGTGTGGTTTTGAATAGTGTTAGAATTTAGGCGCGGTGTCCGAGTTGTAAGTGTGCTGGACTTCGGATTGAAAATTCCGGGTTCGAGCCCCAAGCTGGGTTGTGTTCAGTGATTGCGCGGGCCTTCCCCCCCCCCTCCCTTCCCTTGGGGTATAAATGGATGCGAGCGCTTTGTCAGGGAAACCTGACGAATGCAGTAAGAAAGGGGGGGGGAGTGGGTGTAGGACCTATTATGGACCCATCCATATGGTAAGGGATCGCTTAACGCCTCATTTTATAGAAACCGTGTTAGCTTCTGACAGTCATGCGACGTGCGAGTCACCTTCGTAGACCCTAACCCCGGAATAATTGCATTGAATTTTTGTTGGAGAAAAGGTAAAATTCAACTTGCGCACGATAATTTTTCAGGAGGATACCAGAAAGTGTCTTCTGTGTGGTTTGTTGCGAGATGCTGAACCTACTGAGGCAGGCCGGCTACTCACATGTGGTCTGGATGAGTGGGTGCACGTCAATTGTGGTCTGTGGTCAGCGGAAGTATTTGAAGATGATGAGGGTCGCTTACAAAATGTTCAAGTGGCGATATCACGTGGAAAACAAATGGTATTTACTGTTTTTGTTTTTATAATCTTGTTTATACGGTACCGGCCGCGGGAATAGCAGCATTGGATGCGCCTATCATGCGTATTTTTAAAAATCGTTGAAGGACCAAATTACTCAAAGAGTTGTAATTTTATATATATATATATTTGTATACTTTTATTTTTCTTTTAGAACATTCAGATTTTAAAACATCTTTAATTGTAGATAGGATTTTTTAATTGTAATAGGATTATTTTTATAACATTGTCTTCGAAAAGCTTCCTTGGGGAAAGTCAATAAAGTATGTATGTATGTATGTATGAATGTATGTATAAATCCGTCATATTGCGCGCAATTTACACGCATGATCTTCGCAGTAGCTACAAACTCATCGTAGTGACGACTTCGTGTTCACAGTGTGATTTTAGTCGCAAAAAAGTAAAGCCTGAAGAGAAAAGTCGCGCTTTGTCGTGGTTTCATCCATTAACTCTTAAGAGTGACTAGCATCTAATTTTCCTTACAATGTCACCCTGGATCAAATCTTAAGGCGACGAGAATAAAGAAAATGATCACTCACCAGCAAAATAACCTTTTGATTCTTGATTGTTAAACAACTTCTGTTTGTCAGTTCCTTAACTAATGTGTAGAGAACAGTATGGAGAATATGCATACTGACCAGAAGGCGAAAAGGGCTATATTTTCGCTGCATTCTAATCCTCAAAAATCAATTTCTCTTGCCATTGTAGAAATGTGAACATTGCGGTGAGGTAGGAGCCACAGTAGGCTGTTGTGAACCTCGCTGTCCAATGAATTATCATTTTATGTGCGCAAGAAATGCTAAAGCAGAGTTCCAAGACGACAAGAAGGTGTACTGTGCGCAACATTCCTTCCGGACCAAAAAGGAGGTAAGTCGTTTTATTGACTCGTTAAGCACTTTTCACTCAGCAGTAACACAGCGGTCAAACCGGTGGGGCATGTGCAAGGGGATCAATTTTGGCCGGCTACAGGCCAATTTCCCGCCCAAAATTTCCCAGGAATACTTAAGAAACAACCACTGTCACGCAATATGTGCGAACAAGAAAAATTGAAGCGTACTTGTAAATCTGTACAGGGAAAACAAAAGTAGGGGAAAGAAAGGCTCGAGACTGTTCGTACACAAAGCTTATTAAATCGCACGTTTTCTGCTGAATTACCATTTTGTTTTGAGCTTTATATTAAAAAAATTTCTACAGTTTTCAAACACTGTAACCTACAAGGTTTGTGTGGTTGTCTCTAAGACAACTTGGTTTTGACGGCCCTAAAAGCACGCCATTAAGTTTCTGCAAGTTTGCATGTGCACATACGTTCAACCGCTGTGTTCGTCAGAGCGGTGTGCGCTGAACCAGTCTAGTACAACCAAACAAAAACAGTAAAGACTTAGTCACACGCTTTTTTCTCGCGCTTATCGTCGTTCGCGTGCGTTTTCCGTAAGTTGCGATTGGTGTAACAAAATTTGTGAGATGTACTCAAACTGTAATCAATCCCAAATCGGTCATGACTACGTTACGGGCGTTTCCCGTACTTGATGGGGTGACTTGCATTTGTTAAAAATTGAGCTCTGATTAGTTGATTTTGTTTACATCGGCTTTTGTACTTTCTGGGTTTTATCACAATGAAGTAGTGATTTGTCTCTCAATCATTGTCGGTCAAGAATGGTTTTCGATTGAGCTTCGTAGAGGCGAAGTTATGATAATCGTGGCGGCTAATTAGAGCTAAGAGTGTTTCTCGATCAATAAGAGCATAGTGAAGCAACGTAAACACAATCTGTTATCGCGGAATACTTACGAATTTCAATTGAAATTTTTTAGAGAGCAAACTGAGTAGATAGACCTTATTTTATTAAATGTGGGTATGATTTTTGTTGTTAGTTAGTGATGGTAAATGACGACTTCTGTGTGGAACGACGAGTTTGTGTGGACATGGGCAAAATCCGAGCCACAAAGAAATCGTCAAGAGGATTTGAACCGCACAGCATCAACCTTGTACAAGGTAACAGGAATTAATAAATTGAGACTAAAATGTGAATTTACTACAAGATCGTAAAGATTCAATTGAAAACCGAATTTGAAACACGAATTGTTTTAATTTCAGATTGTAAATAGTTCTGAATTTCTTACAGGTTCTCTTACTCTGGAAAACATGGGTAAGCTGAATGAACATTCCGACACCGAACAAACGTTGTATCCAATTAATTTCAGGTACGGCGTACAATATTCTATTCTTATGATTGTATTCTGCCCTCCTTTGCGCTATACAGCCAACTCAAGTAGCTTTTATTGGTCTGTCCGTGAAATAGAGTGAACCAATGAAGTCAAATATCACAATTTTACCGGAGCTCGAAGTGACTCCAATGGTTTGATTTATTGGTTGCTCGTTTTTCGCAAACATTCCATTAGCTTTTTCTGATGGTTCGCCGTTATCCAAATTTATTACACGACTCGGGCAGTCAGAGGGCCAATAACTAAAATCAACCAATCAAAATGCTCTATGGCCGGTCCAATATTCTCTAAGTATTGGGCCGGGCACTGTCCCAAATGATCCCGAATGATACCGCACTTGTGTCCCTTTGAACTTCAGTCGTATAATAAATCTCTTATTAACCAAGCTTGCTCGGGACCGTACTGGAAGAATATCGGCCCTCGGTCTTTTTTGTACGGACCTTACTCCGCTCGGTCCGTACTGTCAAGACCTCGGGCCGATATTCTCCCAGTACAGCCCTCGCGCTTGGTTAATAAGATATATATACTCTACGTTGAAGAGAAGCACTGTGAAAAAGAAGTGTTTTGTCTCAGAAAAAAACACAATGACCCAGGTGACCTCAATTCCGGATCTCTCCATCTTGCATGGTTGCTACAGATCAGGAAAAAATCAGGGAAAAATAGATTTCTTCAAGGTAAGGGAAAATTGAGGGAAATTAACTTTGAATCAGGGAAAATTTCCATCTTAAAAAGAAGTCAGGGAAAATTGAAATGTCAACTGAATAAAATGTGATTAGTCGTTCATCTTGTCGTGGCCCTCTCTATGATAAAAGATGGTGACACTTGCTAAAGGCATAACTTTATGGTCGAAGAGGATGGCCGTGAGGAGAATTTGGAGGCCATTAATAGGACTCGTTTGTGAAACAGTTAGTGCAGTTTGTTAGGGAATTTTCAAAAACCCGTGACTGTGGCAACCGTGTCTTGGGTCCGTTTTTGTTTCTTTGTGTGTGTGTTGACTATACTTTTCATCCTTCATCAGAATTAGGCGGTTGTACTGGAGCGTTAACGATCCAACTAAAAGATGCCGTTATTACTGCACAATGAAAGAGAAAAAAATCGAATCAACGCAAAGAATACAACAAGAAGCCATCAAGGACTCGATAGATCAGGAACACTTACACAAAGTTATATCTCACGAAGAAGTCAACAAAAAAGACAAAGTGCCAAAAATCATGTCTACAGCTCACGGAGATTTCAAAAACTCTGCACAACCTCGACAGAGTAACAGAGCAACCGACTACTTAAATAGTTCTTATGGAAAGAAACTGAAAAGGATAGCGCCCCATCCAGGCCCCGGTATTGTAAATCACTCTATTTTTCCAGGAGTTCTGTTGAATGATACTACACACTTGTCGAAGTTGAGAAGAATTCTACCAGCTCCTCAAAAACCTTTGCCTGCCTCGCCTACGAATTCTCCGAGGAAACTCATCGAACATATAAATCGACAAACTAGCCATTTACCGTCAATTCTTAATCCTGTTCGTGTGGAAAAATCGCCTTCACCTGTCGCGGCAAGCGCTCCTGCGCAGAAAGCCGTACCTCAGAGAAGTAGGAAAACACCGCCGGCCGTGAAAAGGACGATGAATTTTGAGGAGTCGATTCCTCAAACTGTCAGGCAGTTAAACTGCGATCACGAAGTAGTAGCAAAAGCAGGAGATGAAGAGCTGTTAAATTCGCCCATTAAAGAAATATCTCCCAAGTCTTGGTTAGTGAAGCTTCGAGAAAGGGAAAGTGCTGCGCAATCCGAGAAGCCAAATGTGTCTTTTGAAATCACAAGTGATGAAGGAGTTAGGGTGGAGGCCAATACATGTGAAGGTATCTTAAGTTGTTGATATTTTTTTGTCTGCTTGGTTCTGGTGTACTTGATACTGCTTGGACACTATTGTCCGATTTTGGACACTATTGTTCAAGTTTGGACACTAGTGTCTGATTTTGGACGCCAATGTCTGATTTTGGACGCTACTGTTCTATTTTAGATACTCAAGTCCGATTTTGGACACTAATGTCCGATTTTGAACACGCGTGTCCGATTTTGGAACTATTGTCTGATTTTGAACATTAGTATCCGAATTTAGACACTAGTGTCCAATTGTATACACTGGTGCCAGTTTAGGACACTAGTATCCAATCTAGGGCTCTAGTGTCCGAGTTTTTTATTTTAAACACAACTGTCAGATTTTAGACACTAGCTTCTTATAATGGAAACTAGTCTCATATATTGGACACTAGTGTCTGACAAAATCACGGCTGGGTGATGGACACTAGTGTCCAAAATCAGACACTAGTGTCCGTCAACCGGCCTTTAAAGGAAAGAACGTTCCTTCTGATATTCATTCTTTTTTCTGATGGGCTGTTACGATTCCTTTGTTTCTTGTTTTACGACATTGAAAGGAAATGCTTTCTATTGTTTTGTTTTCATTTTGGTAGCTGCTTGGAAGCAAGTCTTTGAAAAGGTTCAGGAAGCCAGGATAGATCGTCACATGAAGCTGGTTCCATTTGCAGGTTCTGTCAACCGCCATTTCATATTTATTCTAATTTTTGCTGCTTGACTTTCATTTTCCTTTGTGCGACCCAAAGTCTCGTGCAGTGAATGTAGCAACTGATGTATTTGATTTCGTCTTTCAGGTGTGAATGGCAAAGCAATGTTTGGTGTTCGTCAGGTGAGTTAGAAACCCATACCTGAGGCAGTTATGTTAGAGTTCATTTGTTCTTTTCTTTTCGCTTTTTTACGGCTTTAGGCTATTCTTCATTTTTGTAGGTATATGAGGTCATTGCAAAATGTAACTCCGTTTGGCTGGTTTGAATAACCAATTGGAGCGTAGAATTTCCATGCTCACGTGCCAATTGCTCTCGCGTAACAAGCATCCTGTATATTTCCAGGACATGCATTGTCGTGTAAATGTTGGGGGAAAATGATAGACAAGCTTTAATTTTTAATCGTTTATTCCCCACAGGAATCTGTTGTGTCCATGTTGGAGCAGATGCCTGGAGCCCATCAACTGAAGCAGTACTCCTTCAAATACAACCCGCCATTTGACAATAGCAGCTTGGAGGAAACACAGGTAAAATCTGCAGAGATGCATTTCGCTGCGTCCACACTTGAGCGGGAAAATTTGAAAAGGCTACTTGATTTATATGGCTGGGCAATGCAATGCAATGCAATCCAGTGGCTCAGCGGTTCCATCGCTGGCGATTGGTGCGTTTCAAACTTATTGGGCGCAGTGTGGACTCAAAATGTTTTCTTTGTGAACAAGTGTGGAAGAAAAACGTTGCTCTGTCCGAGTGAAAACACTGTGTTCAGTTATTTCTGAGCTGTTGGGCAGAGGGCTTTAATGAAAGAAAAAATGGGAAGTCAATTACTACTTCGATTTTCAAGGGTGAACTTTTTTTTTAAGGTATCTTAGGCTCAAGTCGTGGTGCAGTCAAACTGTTCAGAGTGGTGTAAATGGATGTCTTTGAGTACTTCATTGTAAATTGCGGTACTTTGATGATCTGTTTTTCAAAGTCCGTTAAAACGGCCGCACTTGTTTAACCCTTAAACCTCTAAAAGTGACCAGCATCTAATTTCTCCTTACATTATCACCCCTGAATCACACAGTAAGGTCAGGAGAATAAAGGAAATGATCACCAACTAATGGAAACTCTTGATTGTTACACGAATTCTCCTTGTCGGCACCTTAGGAAATTTTTAGAGAACAGTATGGAGAATATGCATACTGATGTTAGGGTTTAAAGGCTAAACTAGGCGAAGAATTGAGTGCTAATTAGCTCTTTCAACTCAACTCTTCCACAGGCTTTAAAAGAGAATCCTCACGGCTGTGCAAGAGCTGAAGTGTTCCACAGGTTAGGAAACGAAAAGCTTTTTTTGTGTGAGATTAGTGGGTAATTCATACTATCAAATTGGATGCGTATGCAATGGCGGAATGAAGGACCCTTCATTGCGACTCGTGCCATGGGTGACCAACGCAGATTTGTTCCTTACAATATCAATTCAATATTAAGCAGACAAGTGATGAGAATAAAGAAAAACATCAAATAGTGGATTATTAGTTGATCTTGTAACAAATTCTCGAAACTAATATCATGAAAATTTTATGGTAGACAGTAAGGAGAATTACTAATGCGATCTTGAGAGTGAAAGATTGAAATACCTTTTAAGTTCTTCTTTCTCTTTTTTTTACCAGAAACAAAAAGTACGATATGTTCGCGTTCCTGGCGTCAACTCACCGCGTCCCTCCACAACTGGAAGAAAGCGCTGAGGAACAGGAGAGCGCTGAACAGGCGCGCGATGGACCTCTTTCCGTGAGGTACGTGAAAACGCTGCTGTGAAAGCGCTACCGTCAAAACGCTACCAAGAAAACACTACGTGAAAACGCTGTCGTGAAAATGTGTAGATTGGCATAACAAAACAAAAGTGTGAAAGTTAGTCAGTGCTAAACGAAACCTCTTATTTACGAATTTAAACTGAATCGTCACATACTAGATTTTTAACGAAAATTAGAAGAACCGAATTTGGACGTGTATATACCAGCTCAAACAGATGGAAGTACTGTTCCGTAGTTCTCTTAACAGGGTCGCATTCTCAAGAAAGCAGGTAGAACCTCCTTGCACAGTGTTGGTGACACTGGTACTAGGACTTAAACATTAAGTAATTTTTTAATTTTATTATTAACTTACTTACAGTTTATTTCAACCCTTACTTTACAGGCGTCCAACGTGCTTGGATCTACCAATGGCCATGAGATACCGCCACCTTAAACAGTGTTCCTTTAACAAAGACGCTGTAGCTGTATACAGGTACCTGTGTCATCTTATAAAGTTTGTTGTACTGTCCATCACTAAGGTATAGACTCACAGATCGAATGGTAGCTACCGCTGGCTGAGCTGCCCGACCACCCGACCACAGTGACTTTATTTGTCGTCTCGCTCTTATTTTTTTTTCTCAATCAATCAATCAACAACTTTATTTAAGTGTCTAATCTTCTAGCTTGCCCTCAGGCCCACTAATCGGGGACACTACTTAAATTACTTATTAATGATAAATATATATTAATAATACTATAAGATAATAAGATTTAACTATTCAAAACTTCTTCAAATATATACAATAGTCAATATACTTAAAAATACACATATGCAACAAAAACTATGTATACAATTTTATAATATATCAACTCTACTAGGTATAATATTTTCTGTTTATGAATTATGAGTTACACAAGTGGCACCTTTTGCATGCGTTTTTACTAACCAATTCGCTCAGATCTTTTTTCCTTATTTTTGCTTTAAACCTTCTCAAGGAGGTCTCGTTTCTGTCCTTCATGATCAATTTTGACCATAAATTGACCATGTGACCATTTCTGTGAACCTTAGGTCCA